TTGAACTTTTTTTTTTTTTTTTTTTTTTTTACTGGCTCTCATTCTGATTAGTTAAGTGATAAGCCATTATTGAGTACCAGTTTTATGCCCTGCCTAGTGGTAGATGCTTTGATGATTATAATATAGAGTATGTGTATACTATAATGATAATAGGTATGGTTTATTGAGCTCTTACTGTATACCAGGTATTGCTTTGGGTACTTCATATTTATTATCTTATTTAAACTTTAAAACAGCTCTGTAAGGATAATGTCCCCATTAAGACTGAAATTCAGAAAAGTGAAGTAACTTACCCAAAATCAAACAACTAATAAGGACAGCACTGGTACTCAAACCAAACATTCTGCATCTAAGCTCATTCCAGTGTGGCACATGCCTCTTAATTCCCTCCCAGACTGCATCAATTTAACTTAATTAATAAATATTTATCAAGTACCTAGTCATTTAGTTACAACTTCCCAAAGACAACAAACAGAAAGGTGGTATAGGAAGAGATTTCAGAAGAGGAGTAAAACGCCCCCTTGCAGGGGACTAATCAGAGAGAGCTTCCCACAGGACAGGGGACTTGTGCTGGCTCTTTGAAAATGGATGGACTCTGACCAGATGTAGACAATATGGCCCGATCTCGAGAGACTCAGAGACGGCAAAGGGCGCTCTCTGACAGAGGGGTGACACCATGTAAAAGGCTGCAGGGGAGGTTGTAAGCCAATACTGGAAAGCTCTTTTATATAATATATATGGGGAACTTCACGGTAAACAAATTGAACATAAATATTTGCTCCCTAATGAAATGCTACTAATAAAGAGAAAATGAAAATTATAAACTCATAGGCATGAAAAGAACAGAAGAAACAAGAGCAGGTGATAGAGTCAACAAAATTGTAGAAAACCTCAAGCATATAAATGAGTAATAAACTGAATTGGCAGAATGGAGAAAAGTGAAACCTAAAGCCTTCAAGAAACAATGTAATTCAAGCTGTAGAACTTCAGAAGGACTTAGGATTTGGAGGTACCAGTGAACTGGTAAGGGTGTAGGGGTAAGGAATAAGTCTAAAAATAGGAAGAAAAGTAAGACTCCAGGTCATTTCCCCCGCCCTGCGTAGCCAGCCAACCACTTCTGCACACCCCCCCCCCCCCGTGGGAGACTGGAGGTTTGATTTCTGAAAAAATGGAACCCAGGAAGCTCTGAACTGTGAACTGCTTGATATCTGGAGCAAGAAGTAAGATATTGACTGAAAATAAGGGGATTCAGTGAAAGTCTGACATACCAACAGTGAATTCCCCAACCACTTTTTCATACTTAACTCCCCAAATGGGGTCCAGATCATACGCCTAAGGAGAAGATTGGAGGACTTCCTCTGGGAAAATCTGGGTCCTGCAATGAGAGCCACTGGGACTGACATGTCCTCCACAGAAGGAGCTCGGTTTCCATCCACTCGTTCCAAAGTGAACTCCCCCAGCACATAGGCTATCTGATCAGCTTTTCAAAGTCTCATTGGTAAAGATGAGGGACAACCAAAGATTACTAGACATTAAAGGAAGGACTCTAATATGTTTTTTAAGTCAAAAATGAAAAAAAGAAGTAACCCAGAAGTAAGAAAATGAAGGAGGAGATAAAATTAATACTAGTATTAGTACAAGAACATAATCAGAATTAGGGGAATAAGAGTTTTCATATCGAAAGAACTCACTTAAGTGCCCAGCACAACAAATGAAAAAGGTTCCACACAAGGCTAAATACTGTGCAATTTCAGAAAATTAGGGTTAAAGAACAAAACCTAAAAGCTTCCAGAGAGAAGAATCAGCTCGCAAAGGATCAGGAATCAGAATGTTACCAGTTTTCTCAGTTGCCATATGCAAAATGAAATGACAGTGAAACAATACTACAGAAATTTGAAAGGAAATTATTCTTTCTCAGCTTTGCATTCTGTACCCAGGCAAACTATCATTCAGGTGTGAGAATGAAAAAGATACCTCCCATACTCCCTTTTCCCAGAAAGCTATTAGAGGATATGCTCCACCAAGATGAGGCAGTAAGTCAAGAGGGAAGTCATGAGATCAACACAGAAGAGAAGTAAACAAAATGTCCAAGGTGATGGTGAAGGGAGGTTCTAGGAAGATAACAATGGAACAAGTCGAGAAAGCAGCCAGTGCGCATTGGAGCAGAGAGAGGAACGGTTCAGGAAATGTCTCCAAGGAGGAAACTGGGCTTGCTAGGTAATATGTATGGTGTTTTTAATAAGATTGAGAAAGATTGCATGGTTTTTTCCTAGTTTGGGGAGGATCTAGTGATAGGTACATAGGTACTCAGTAAGCAGTACTGCGAACAAGATAGGTACTCAACGAGTGAGAAAGAATGGCAGTTAGCACTTCAAAGAAAACAAAAAACTCACAAAAAAAGGAATAGTATATCACATGGCTCACTAGTGAACAGTGTTTTTGTAGGTATAAGGTAAACACCAAATACTGACTTAACAAAAAATGTGATTTTAACTATCTTGAGAGGATGAGAAGTATACTTGGGAGGATAGAGAGTTAAATCCTTGTGGTCTTCAATAAAAAGTCAGTAAATAATGTGTGGGTAGGGTGATAAAGTGTTTATTTAAGAGGAGTAATATAGAAGAACTAACTTCTCATTTTTCATAATAGGAACATGATAGATGATGCCTAAAACTGGAAGGGAAAATGTAAGAAATATTAATACATTAGTCAGAGATAATGGTAAAAAAGCAGCTAAAAGTGGTGGCCACTGAAGAGCAGAGATCCATTGTCTTTTCATTATAAGCTGTAAAGTATTGTCGACTTATTAAACAGGGCATGTACTTTATTTTAAGTATTGAATTAATATAGTTGTATCATGTGCAAATTTCTTTTTAGTCCTGTGTGTTAAAAATTAAAAGGAAGACATGGTAGAAACAGTTTGGAGCTGTTACTAAGAGGCTGTAGCCGTGGCTTTGTTCCTCGTGGGCCCCGCAACCCGGGGAGGACACTTGCTTTGCTGAGTCTCGGTTTCTTCATTTATGAAAGGAAGGGGGTTGGAGAGGATGGTCTCCAGGGTTCCTTTAATCTCCAATAGTTTGCAATTCTCTGATAAAAAATACTAGTGCAATGCAGCAAATGAAGAGTTAAGACCTGGGTGGAGGCTGGAAATGCCCACATTTTCCTTTTCTGGTTGGAATCAAATTTGCAGACAAATTTTCATTGTGGTCTCTGAAAAGAATTCAACATCCACCTTCCACTGTGGAGCCTGGGGCAGGCAATTGACTATGTACTGGCTCAGGGACACATAGCTTAGTGTTATTTCTGTATGGTTTTTTTGATATTTAATATTTTTCAGTATGAATCACAGGTGAAATTTCCATGCCATGTGTAAACAATTTCACTTTTTTATTGAAACAATGAATTCAGGAATGTCATATTGGGATATCAGCCATTTTGCTTTTATCAATGTATGAAAAAAATACTTTTATATTAATATAAGAAATGATGTCATTTAGCATGGAGTAGATCCTATAATTCAAGGTCAGCAAATCTCAGGAGGTGATTTAGGTCACCAAGCTAAGTTTTGGAAAAGGAAAAGAATATTTTCCCTTTGTCTTCTCAAGTGTTTTTTATCAGTTTCCCTCCCCTGTTGCGGTAAACGCTGAATGAGCGTGGCTGTGAAAGGGGGCTCTGGCTGACACGCCTCTGCCGCTGAAACACTTGGGCCCAGAGAAGGTACTTCCCCTGCCTGGGCTTCAGTTTCCCCGTCTGCAAAAGGAAAGGATTGGCTTAAATAATATTCAAGACACCTTGTAGCTTTAACGTTCTATGTTTCTACCCCCTTGTTTTATGTGAGTATTCAAGAGACCTGATTGCGTTTGAGGGTGTTTCTTTAAAAGTCCAAGGTAGTGGGAATGAACTTCTCTGTTAAGTAAAAAATCAGTTTGAGTACTAGATAGAAACAAGAAAACTTATTTTATTTTATTTTTTTATTGGCACTGGTTTTCTTTTTTAAGAGAGGAAGATATTAAAAGTTTGACTTGGTCACTTTTAAAGTTAAGTGCAAGAAAAGTAACACTTCAAAGCTGATGGCCCTTCACATTTGTACACCAGTATGCAGATTACGAAGTTTTTTCGTATGTATTATGTCATTTGAAAAATCCATTTCTACAGGGCTATGTTGCACACTTACAGTGTAATTGATATTATGTGTGTAAGCATGTGTATGAATATGCACATATACCTGTCTCAGATCTTACTATGGTCAGTCAAGGTAGCAAATGTCTCTATCCAGAGACAGAGAAAGAGGAGACAAGGAACAAACAGATGAAAACTATTTAGCAAGTTACCCAAGGAACACAGAAGAATACTTAATTTTAGAAAATAAGCCTCTATAGAAATGAATAACACTAAGAGCAGAGAAAGCCCACTGGCCATAATTTCCTCCTGCTATCCTACAACTCTGTGCTCTGGTTCTGGGTAAAGAGGGAAATTATAGATGTAAGAGAAATACAGAGCACAGCCTCTGTCAAAAGTGACTTGCTACATACTTGTTTAATAAGCACTGACTGAGCACTGTATCCGACACTGTTGGGAATCAGGTGAATGCAATACAGTTCCTACCCTGATTATACAAAGAGCAGGATCAGTGAAAGAAGGGCTGAATGTGCTCAGAGTATACAATATGAGCCTTCAGTATTTAAAGTGAAATACTGGTTTTATGGGCTATGTCCTTGGAATCGATGCTGGCGAATCTTACAGGGGTCTTTGAAATATCCTGATTCCGCAGTTAGTCATTCTTAATCTTCTCTTACTTCACAGGGCAAGGCAGGAAGAAATGAAAAGACTGCTTTTAAACATCATCCCAACAGTGTAGTGGTGATACTGGGATCATACATTCATATTTCCTCTTTCAGCGTTCAGAAATAGAAAAAGACATGTTCAGTAGATCATGTTTCTGAAACATTGCCTAGTATCTGCCAGAATTTTTTTTAATTCTATTTTTCTTTCTTTTGCAGCTAAGATACCAGCATGGACTTGGGACTCCAGACTTGAGGCAAACCCTTCCTAACCTGAAAAACTTCATGGAACATGGACTACTGGTCAGATGGTGAGTACCTTTATTTCTGACACTCACAACTGTAATGTAGATAATAATCCTGAGAAACGTTTCTGGCTTCCACACTACACCACACCTGCCTTCTGGGTTTTCTTCTGTAAGAAGATATCTGAAGGGAAGGAAGGCAGCCATCATGGCAGAGGGGGGTGAAGCACCCCTGGGAGGGCAGAGGGCGTGCAGGGGCATCGTTTGAATGTTGGGGGGCTGGCTGGGCAAGCAATCCTTGAGAACATTGCTGAGGCAGACACTGAGGGGCAGCCCTGTGACTCATTAAAGGGAGAGACATGGAGCTCCTATGACTAAAGAACAAGCAAAGGTCATACAGAATGAGCTCCGGCATCTGTGGCTGTGAGAATTAAGGGAAGAAAGCAGACAGGGAATAGGTCAGGTTTGTCGGGACCTAGTCTTGACACCAAGAGGCACATACTAGAATGTTCTTGTGTTTGATGTCAGTGCCTGTGGTACCATGAGGGCAAGTTACTTCTTAAAAGTGCTTTGTCAGGATAGACATGACTCTTAAAAATTAAGGGGAGATGGAGATCCAAGAGGTAGCAGAGTAGGTAGAAGTTATACTCACCTCTTGGGTCCAAACTACAATTAAAACTAAATTATACAACAATAAATCTGAATAACCAATTGAAGACTAGCTGATCAGAAGTCATATAACCAAGGATTTACAGAAAAAGCCATATGTAGACTGGTATGAAGGACGGAGATGTGAAAAGCATTGGACCCACACCCCTGTGGGGTGGTTGATAATCCAGAGGGATATCTCAGCTTCAGAGGTCCCCCTGAGGAGCGTTAGGGTCTCAGCTTCATGCTGGGCTCCCCAGCCTAGAGCACCAGGAGTCAATAAGAGGAGCCCACATAACATCCTGCTGTGAAAATCAGCAGGGATTCAGTACCCAGGGAGTCTGCTAGAAACCTAGGCACCCTCTTAAAGGGCCAGCACACAAAAGTCTCATTCATGGCCACCCACCCTGGGCTCTGGCAGAGGGAGTGCATGCAGTTCAGAGTGAAGTGGAGTCATGCAAGGACAGACTGGGTTGCGTGGCTCCAGAGAGAGAGCTGAAGGAACAGCTGCGAGGTCCCTGTGCTGAGTCCCTCTCCCACATGGCCCGGGTTGAGCATTCCCTTCCGTTCTGTATCAGCCTGGAGAAAAGCACAAGCCCCACCCTCTCGACTCCCTGTCGCCCTGCCCTGCCCTGCTGAGCTCTTGCCCTGCTGAGGAATCAGCTGCCTGGTCTGGATGTCAGAAACCAAGTTGTGTGACTCTGAGGCAGGGGCCGTTTTCCCCTAACCTTAACCCTACCCTTCAGATGTAGAACTGTCTCATCAGACGGCCAAATCTTTTCTGCTTGGGCTTGATAAACTCTTTTGGCCTTAACCCTGACAGCTCCCTAAGAATCCCAAGACTACCGCAAAGGTGTGCAAGCACTCAGCAGGTGGCAACTAATCTTGGTGTACACCGAGACCTTTGCTGAGTGGCCTCAGTCCTAGCCCTGGTGCTGAGTTTGAGCAACTATATGCCAACAAGCTGGACAATCTGGAAGAAGTGGGTAAATTCCTAGAAACATACAGTCTTCCAAAACTGAAGCAAGAACAATCAAAACCTGAATAGACCAATGACAACTAATGAAATTGAAGCAGCAATTTAAAAACTTCCAACAAATGTCCTGGACTGGATGGCTTCATGGGTGAATTTAACCAAACATTCAGAGAAGAACCAACAGCTGTTTTTCTCAAGCTGTTCCAAAAAATTCAAGAGGCAGGAAGACTCCCAAGCTCATTTTACAAGGCCAACCTTACCCTAACTGCACAATCAAAGATACTACAGAGAAAGAAAATTGTAGGCCAATATACCTGTGAACATAAAGCAAAAATCCTCAACAAAATATTAGCAAACTAAATCCAGCAATACATTAAAAAGATCATACACCATGATTAAATGGGAGTTATTCCTGGGGTGCAAGAGTTGCACAATATTTGCAAATCAATTAATGTGATATACCACATAAACAAAATGAAGGATAAAAATCATACAACCATATCAATAGATGCAGAAAAAGCATTGACAAATTTCAGCACACATTATGATAAAAACTCTCAGCAAAGTGGGAATAGAGGAAATATAACAAAGGCTCTATGTGAAACACCCACGGCTAACAACACACTCAGTGGGGAAAAGCTAAAAGCATTTGACTTAGGATCAAGAACAAGACAGGGATGCCCACTTTCACTACTTGTTGTCAACATAGTACTAGAAGTCCTAGCCACAGCAATCAGGCAAGAAGAAGAAATAAAAGGCATCCAAAATGGAAAAGAAGAAGTAATATTATATATTTTTTTTTTTTTTTTGGCAGAAGACATGATATTATATAGGGAGAACCCTACAGATTCCACCAAAAAAACAAAAAACAAACAAACAAAAAAAACCCTATGAACTGATAAATGAATTCAGTAAAGTAGCAGGATATAAAATTAATATTCAGAAACGGGTTACATTTTTATACACCAGTAGTGAACTATCAGAAAAGGAGACTAAGGAAACAATCCCATTTACAATTGCCTAAAAAAAAAAAAAAAAAAGCTAGGAAAAAAATTAACCAAGGAATTAAAAGACTTTTACTAAGAAATTATAAAATACCATAGGAAAAAAATTGAAGAAGATAGAAATAAGTGGACACATCTACTGTGCTCATGGATAGGAAGAATTAGCATCAATACAATGTCCATATTACCCAAAGCACTCTATAGATTCAACACAATTTCTGTCAAGATTCCAATGACATATTTCACAGAACTAGAACAAATAATCCAAAAATTGATATGGAATGGAACCCCAAAAGACCCCTAGTAGCCACCGCAATCTTGAAAAAGAAAAACAAACTTGGAGGTATCATACTAACTGATGTCAAACTATACTACAAGGCCATAGTAATCAAAACAGCATGGTGCTGGCATAAAAATGGACATGAGGGTCGATGGAACAGAATAGAGAGCCCAGTAATAAACCCACACCTTTATTTTCAATTAATATTTGACAAAGGAGGAAAGAACATATAATGGGGTAAAGACAGTCTATTCAATAAATGGTGTTGGAAAGATAGGATAGATAATATCCAAAAAAGAAAAAGAAAGAAAGAAACTAGATCACCTTCTTACACCATACACAAAAATAAACTCAAAGTGAATTAAAAACTTAAATGTAAGACTCAAAACCATAAAACTCTTTGGAGAAAACATAGATAGTAAAACCTTTAACATTTCTCTTAGCAATTTTTTTTTTCAGATATATCTCCTTGGGCAAGGGAAACAAAAGAAAAAATAAACAAATGGGACTGCCTCACACTAAAAAGTTTCTGCACAGCAAAGGAAACCATCAACAAAATGAAAAGACATTCCACTGAACGGAGGAAGATACTTGCCAATGATACACGTGATAAAGTACTAATATCCAAAATTTACAAATAACTCAAACAACTGAACACCAAAAAGACAAACAGTCCAATTAAAAAATGGGCAAAGGATCTGAGAAGACACTTCTCCAAAGAGAACATAAAGATGGCCAAGAGACATATGAAAAGATGCGCAACATCACTAATTGTCAGGGAAATGCATATTAAAACCACAATGACATATCACGTCACACCAGTCAGAATGGCTGTCATCAAGAAACCAACAAACAACTAGTGCTGGTGAGGATATAGAGAAAAGGGAACTCTCGTGCACTGTTGGTAGGAATGCAGGTTGGTGCAGCCACTACGGAAAGCAATATGGAGGGTTCTCAACAAATTAAAAATAGATCTGCCGTATGACCCAGCTAGTACACTTCTGGGAACATATCCAGAGAAGCCCAAAACTCTAATTCAAAAGAATATACATACCCTTTTTTCTCACAGTATTATTTATAATAGCCAATACCTGGAACCAACCCAAGTGCCTATCAATGGATAAATGGATAAAAAAGTAGTGGCACATACTCGTATGTACAATAGAGTATTACTTGGCCATAAAAAAGTATGAAATCTTACCATTTGTGATTGCGAGGATGGACCTAGAGAGTATCATGGAAAGTGAAACAAGTCAGTTAGAAAAAGACAAATACCATATGATTTTACTTATATGTGGAATCTAAAGAACAAAATAAGCAAACGAAATTAAAACAGACTCAGACACAGAGAACAGACTGGTGGTTGCCAGAGGGGAGGGGGTTTGGGGAACTGGGTGGAAAAGGTGCAGGGACTGAAAAGTACAAATTGGTAGTTACAGAATGGTCATAGGGGTATAAAGTACAGCATAGGAAATACAGTCAATAATATTGTAATAACTATGGTGCCAAGTGGGTATGGGAAATATCAGGGTGAGAACTTTGTAAAGTATGATTGTCTAACCACTATGCTGTACACCTGAAACTAAATCAAAATGATATTGAATATAAACTGTAATTTAAAAAATAAAATTTAAAAAATAAAAAAAGAAGGGTGGAGGCAAAGTCTGGTGTCAAGAAGACATTAGAGTGATTCACTTCACTTAAATAAGTGGGAAGCTTACCTCCAACCACGTAGTAATTCTTGAATTTTGAATCCTTGAATGATAGGCATTAATTTAGGATATCATGTGAATGGAAATGAGGCCTTTAGAAAGTTAGACAACTGGGAGCAGCATGGGTTCTTCCCAGGAGCACTGGCTCCTGACCCCTGATTTTTGTCTAGCCTCCTGTGTGAACTTAAAGTCCTGCCTCTCGGAAGTCTCATTTCCTCACCTGTACTCCCCGCCCTGCTCATCTCACCAGTTTGTGGTAAGAATGAAATGTGATGTTAGGCAGAAAAATTATTTGTGGGGAGGAAGGTACAGGATTGGTTTTGTTTTCTTCTGTGCCATGAGGATAGGCCTTGAGAATAGTAAGAAAACAACACATATGATTAACCTTTACTTTGACTTCTTTTATTTTTGTCTCATATGATCTTCACGATGTAAGTTCCAGATGT